GTTTTATAATTATTTTTGCTAATTTAAGACCAACTTATTCCACAAAAAATAAAACTTAACATAGTTAATTAAATTTAATAAGGATTAATAAAACAAAACTTAATATAATTTAATTAATTCAAAATCAATTTAAATTCCATTTAAAAATAGAGAAAATTATAAAACCTCCTTGGGTTTTCTAAAAATCCTATAAAACTCCCATGTGTTTTGACATTAACAAAACCTCCCCTATTGCTTTGAAAAAGGGTCTAAGGCGATGTTTGGAGTGCTTAAAATTAAGTGCTTATTTGGATGGGGACCACACTATTAAGCACTTAGTAGTGTTTAGGAAATAAGTCTGAAATAAGTGCTTATTTTTTAAGCCCAAATTGATAGCTTTTTTTAAGTGCTCATACAATAAGCACTTATTCAATATTTTTCTCCCATAATTGTCCCCATTGAATTTCTAGAATACCATTTATACCCTTTTACAAAAACAATTTTACAAAGGCACTTTTAGATTGGATATTTTGAAACATTTATACCCTTTTACAAAAACAATTTATACCCATTGAAAATTACTTTTACGAAAGTACTTTTGTAAAAGAACTTTTATGAAAGTACTTTTATAAAAGCACTTTTACGAAAACACTTTTTTAAAAGAACTTTTACGGAAGTGCTTTTATAAAAGCACTTTTATAAAAGTATTTTACAGAAGTACTTTTATGAAAGCACTTTTGTAGAAGTACTTTTATAAAAGCACTTCTATGAAAGCACTTTTATTCATTCACTTTGGATTGGATATTTTGAAAAATTGAAAGAAGATGAAGGACAAAAGAGTTACAATTGCTTATTTAAGTACTTATTGGAGAAAAAGAGCACCAAACACCCAATATAAAATATAAGCATTTGAAAAAATTGGGTGCCAAATGTAAATAAGTGCTTATTCGAATAAGCACTTATTCAATAAGAACTAATTTTTAATATAAACACTCCCAAACATGGCCTAAATATATACATTCCTTTTCATTAGCATTCCTAATTGAAATGTTGATATAATACATTAAGTTTTTAAAATACCAAATTTACCCTTAACCAACTTCATTCACATGTAAATTTACTTAATTACTCTATGATCATATTTTGTTACAATGGCTGTCCTGTTTTAGATAATACCAAAATTTTCATTACTAGGGGTGAGTGAGCAAAGATAACCCATGAGACATTCATTCATATGCGATGGCTATTCTTTTCTTGTACAATTTTCTCCATTATTAGTCTGGATTGTATCATTTTCTCCTGTGAACCTGAGGCTCCACAGGATGCGAGTTCCCCAAAAACGAATCTAATTTTGACACTAACTCCCCCAAGTAAAGCATTTAAGAAAGAGGCAAGCGAGAGAAGACACATGGCTGATTCTGATTGTCAATAGGTTGAGTCCAACAGGCAGTGGTGATGGAGGTAGTTGGATCACTCACCAGCAGCAGCTGCATGTATTACCAGAAACATTAACGGCGGCGGATGATTTGTAGTAGTTTTCTGTGATCAAAGATGGGAAAGAGTTTTGTTTCAACCAGAGTGTTTGGGGAGTTTGGTTACAGTGTAAATAAATTTGTATTGATGCAAAACAATGATAATGCAAATGATTTGGGTGCAAATTCTGATTTATTTTTGTTTCAAATTTTATCTTATTTTATTTGATTACATTGCAAATGAAATAAAATAAGACGTGAAATAGAATGAAGTAAAATCCAAGCCAAAACTAAACCAGAATTTACATTCTTTAAATTTGCACTCCTATACATTTGTACTAGTGCAAATAAGATTGTATTGCAACCAAACGCAGAGTGTCAAAATGAGATTCATTTTTTGAGGGTTCGAATGAGAAAGAGCTTTGGTTTGGATGTAATATTGATGATAAAGGAATAGGAGGAGGAAGAGAAATACTGCTGCCAATTGCCGGTGATTTGGCCGGTTGAAGGGTTAAGGTTTAGATCTGAGAGAGAGAAAGAGGGTTCTAATTTTGAATTAGAGGAATGGCTTTTGTGTTTTAGCATCGGTCCAACCAAGTGAACCAACGTTAAGAGGTGAGTTCTGTTAGTTTGGGCTATGAGGCAAGCGCCCCACAGACCCACCACATGCACATCTCAGCATGCATTGGGAACATCTTTGTACTTGTCATTGGGAGATGTTCCCAATACACGGTTGGGATGTGCTGTGGAGCATTTCCTGTGGGCTGCCGATGTCAACTTGTCTTAAGCCGATGTCAACACAACTATTTTCTCTAACAAGATGTTCAACAAAAAACATGTTAAAACCCGAACATTGGAGTGGATGCAACAGAAGAACTAGAGGAAGAGAGCAAAGTATGTGTTCGGTAGAGCTTCCATTTATTAATTAAACACTTGTATTTGATTTGTCTTCAAAACCAATGAAAGTAATAATATCAACTATTTATGACAAGTAGGCGCCACTAGGTGCCATTAGGCATCACATCAGTAGAACAATGAATAAATATCTAACTGTTGGGGGAAGCGTTAAAATGAAATTTCTCCCAACGGTAGGCACACACATAAATTAAGGCCGGATTTTGTGAGTATTTATGCGTACGGATTACCATGATGGGCTAAATGCTGATTTGACAATGATATGTCAGCGTTTTAATAAACGCCGTGGAATAAAACACACGCAAAAATTTTGCTTGATACATGTTAAGATCCACTATGAAAATTCTGACTTTTCTTGATAAAGTTTTTGCTGGCAGTTTAATATGAATTACACCAACATATACTTAGCATTAGATATCAGACATTAGGGGGTTATTCTTTGATATGAATTTCTTTTCTTGTTATAATCTCCTAAAACAAATCTAAACCATTTGATTTAAGAACAAACAGGTTTCTAAAACAAAAATATAAAAAACATGTTATCATTTGTTTATTTATTTATATATTGTTTCCAAATTTGAAAGAAAAAAATGAGCCGAGATTAACTAAATGTAATCTTTGTGTTAGGGGCTACCTAACCAATAATAATGCCCAACTGTATATGCCCCACAATCACTCAATTTCTCACTTTGGGGCATTTGTCTTTTAAATTTTGAGAGGGGGAAAGTTGGTCAATGGGATTTTGGTTCCCATTACCAAGAAATCCATGTTCTTTTTTCAGATTTATGTGGGGACTAGCAGGGGCGGAGCTAAGATTTTATGTTAGGGGGGTCAAATACTAATGAACATAGATTAGGAGGCCAAAAGTTAATAAAACAAGAGTGAAGGGTTAAAACATGCCCCCCCCCCCTAGCTCTCCCCTGGGGGCTAGGGAAAATTTATTTTCTTGGGTATACTCATCTCCCATGTGGGCAAATAACTGAATTCACATTTGCACCCCACAGAGGGCACTCCACAAAATGCCCCACAACATATCCCAACTGTGTATTGGGAACATCTACCATTGACAACTTTGGAATATGTTCCCAATGCGTGCTGAGATGTGCATGTGGGATGCCCCCCGTGGAGCACAGATGTTATCTCCAAATAACTTTCTCACATGGGGGAAAGTTGCAAACACTTGGATGAGACAAAAATGCCCCTTTTAATAATTGATTTTTATGGCTAAAATGGTCGTTGCTTTCTTTACCTGGAAAATAAAAAAACATGGATAAATGCACTTATCCATTTACCTGGATAAATAACTTACTGAAAAATGGGGCCTTTGTGTGCATGAATGGCTTATGTGGGGGCATTATATTTATACAGTCCCTAACAGCCATTACATGCAACTAATCTAGCCTTAAAAATTAATGTTCTTGAACTCTGGTTTAAAGAGTCATGTTTACTAAACCATACGATATCTATACTCCAAAAGTTTCCTTCTTTGAAAACCACCATGTTGATGGTTTAAAAAACATGCATTTTTTTTTGAAACAAAGCAACTTATCTTAAAACAAAGACACAATTGAAGAACGTATTCAATGTTTTCTGCTGTGTCAAATTTTAAAGCCAAATAAAGGCAAACATTATTATCAACGAGGGCGGATCTCCTACCTACTCTTACTTACGGCTCATTACAGTTGTACATTGAGAACATTTCCCATGCTTGCATGTTACCATTCATAGGGAGATGTTCCCAATGTATGACTGTAGTATCATGTGGGCAGGAGATTTCAATTCCTTATCAATACCCCCGATTGAAAACTTGAAGAATTAAAAATGTAGGATATATTTTAGTCAATTTATGAAAACTCTCTTTTACCCTAAAATAAATTTCAGGTTGGGCCTGAACACAAAACCTATGCCAAAACCTACAAATTTCGGGACTGGGCTAGAAATGATCACCCCTACCAGTTTTGGAAGGTGTTTCATGGAATCTGGACATTTGGGTGGGGAGGGAGAACTCAATCCACATCTCCTACCCACATTCTTACCTGCAGTACACTACTGCCATGTGTTGGGAATATCTCCCCATGGAGATATTCCTAATGTGTGCCTATAGTGTCCTGTGGTTAGGGATGTGGGAAGAATTTGTGGGCAGCAAATCCGAACTTGGAAAGGAATCATGTTTTCATCATAAGTTAAAAAGACATTGATGTTTTCAAGTTGGGCAGTTGGGACTCGGGATCACATTCACACTAACTGAAAAAAAAAAAGAAGAAAACTGATCTTGATCTGAAATCTTTAGGAAGTATTAAGATTAAGAGCGAATTAAAGAATAAACAAAGCGGGAAACAAGCACCTCTTCTCACCTTTGTCTTTTGATTTAGTCCCCCAACACAGTAAAAAGAGTATGAGAAAAAGAGAAAAGAAATGCACCCATCAACATAATCATTATCCTTAGTCCTTACTACCATCACTTGATCAGCCTACAGACCACACTTGAAATTCTAAACAAGTCACTTCACTCTTTCCTTCTTTCTTTATTTTTCCTTCTCTCACTTTTTTCCCTCTTTTTTGCACCTGATCTTACGTGCCTCTTCCATCAGCCATGCCTCCTTTCTCAAGTTTTCTTTTATTCCCTCTCTCTCTCTCTCTCTCTCTCTCCAACCCAAGAAATCTGATTCTTCAAAATATGTAGTTAGTAAAGGGTTCAAAGATTACATCTCCTTTTCTACAACTAAGTACAACAACATTAATACTTTTTTTTGAGAAATCTGAGCTGTTCTTTGTTTCAGACCAAGTAGAAAAACCAGAGCCACTTAGAGGAGGTTTAAGAAAAATAATTAGAAGCAGAAGAACAAGAGCAATAAATATTAGGAGGAAGAATTAAAAGGGAAAAAGAGACGAAGGAGAAGTTTGGAGAGATGGGTCCATCGATTCTTCACTGTCTTTTCTTCCTCCTCTTGGGTGTACTACTCTGTTCAGGTCAGTTGTTTTCCAACAGAGTTCCTTACTTAATGCTGCGTAGTTTGAATTTGAATGCATGGAGGTTGGTGGCTTTTTCTTCTGATTACCAATCGTGGCTGTTGTTGGTTTGAACTTTAGCCTCTCCTCTCGCTCTCCCTCTTTGAAATTATTGCTTTCTTCAAATGGGTTGTTCTCTGTTTTGATTTGTAATCAGGTCTTCGCTAATTTCAAATATGATTCTGATTTTTTAATTGATGAGCATCTCATTATTGTTGTTCTGAGTCTCCATGAATACAGAGTATCCAAATCATGAACCATTTGAACTTGGGTTTTGATGCTTTCTCATGGACATACGGTTCTCTTACTTGAGAACTTATCTGCCTGTTTTCAGGATCAAGTGTTACAGAGAAGTTTCCAATTGGCACAGCTAAGCGCATCAACGAATTAGATCACAGAGATAAGTCATTAATCTCTGTTTCGAGGTCCACCACCCAACTGGATGTTACTACTCCAATAACAACAGTTCCAGTGATCAATCCTACAACCCCAACAACAACAACCCCAACGCCAACAACGCCAACCCCCGTGGCAAATCCGGCTGCAACACCATCAACTCCAGTCATTACAAGTCCATATACCACTCCGACCACAGCATCTCCTGCATCATCAGGTGGAAGCTGGTGCATTGCCAGCCAATCTGCATCACAGACTGCTTTACAGGTTGCTCTAGACTATGCATGTGGGTATGGTGGTGCAGATTGTTCAGCCATTCAGCCAGGTGCAAGCTGTTACGACCCGAATACAGTTCGAGATCATGCATCTTATGCATTCAATGACTACTACCAGAAGAACCCAATTCCCACCAGTTGTAACTTTGGAGGAACTGCTGTTATTACCAACATCGATCCAAGTAAGTTCTTTCTGTAACCAACACTTGATATCATCCTGACAAAGAAGTAGATTTGAAGACAAAATTTTGATTACTCACATGCAGACTTAAAGAGTAGGCAATCCAAAGCTCCCCATTAACTTTCGAAAACTCCAAATGGCTGTGATCAAAATTAGCAAACAGTTGGAGTGTGAAAACTTTCTCTTGATGCATTACTAATCTTTGATCATGCATCTATTTTTCATGTTAAAGGTCGAAGCTAACTTCCAGAATTTATTTTCTTTTATTTTACAACATTTCAGGTACTCCAACATGTAAGTATCCATCAACTAGGTAAGTTCTCTTAACCATCTCTAATTCCATTCTGTTTGGTAACACAGAAGGAATGCTTGCTGATTGGTTTTCTTGGTTACAGCACACATGCTTCGGTTATAAACACAACCAATCCAACTGGATCTGGATCAACAGTTTATGGATCAGAACCTTCTGCATCACTCAACTCAAGAGCTTCTGTGTTGCATAGCTTGCAAATTCTCTTCACCTCCACATGCCTCTTAGTGTCATTTCTTTCTGTAAATCATCTTTAGAGCAGATGGAAGCCATACTTAGTTCTTCATTTCGCGGCTACAAGGTGATTCACTTAATTGCTTTACTCGATTCTGCATCGTTAGAGTATAAAGGAGGCATTGCAGATTGATTATGGGAGATATATCTTTTGGCTTTAGTCCTCACAATCAGGTCAGTCCTGAATTGATCTATGAATGCCTTTTGATCAGTGCAGAACTTGGAGAAGATACAGAAAGAGCAATGCAATCTGTGGATCTGATGATTTCTTGTACTTGTAGAGAAGAGCATAGGAATAGGTTGTTACTTGGTTCCCTTTCTTTGTAGTATCAAAGGCAATAAATTCTCAAACAAGTGCATATGCCTTTTGGGCTGCTTTTGTTGTGTTTAGGCCAGTTTAAAGGACAGGGTGCAGTAAGAGAGGATGGATATATTTTAGTCTTTTAGAACATGATAGTGATGTTTCAAATATTTCCTTACTTGATTGATCTTCAATCTGTTTGCAGTAGAAATCCAGAACTAGAAAATGCCTGTTAGCATAGTAAATAAAACCTTAGTTTAAAGTTGAAGTGATAAGGATAACATAGAATTTGGCCTTAGACTGGATTTGCAGTATCGACAAATACAGGCCAATACGTGTCAATACTTTGAACCTTAAGCGTAAAAATAGAAGAATACTGTGACAATACCCTTTTTCATAAACAAGGAAACTGAGCTTAATCATGCATTCTTTAAGCTTTGGACCAGACATTGGACCTTTTTATGACCTTGATGGAGTTTCCTAACTATGCCTACTAACCTTCATCTTGAGAAATATTCACCGAGCAAGCACCGACACCAAGCAAGAAAGCAGCAAATATTCCCCAAATTACATGGAATCTGAGTCTGAATTCATCTTTATTTCTTGATGTAAGAGAAAGGAGAAATAGTAATTGATAAGACGTTCAATCCATTCTGTCCAAAAGTCTAGAATTAACTTTTAATAACCTAGTTTCAAGGTTAGTGAAATTCTCGCAGCAAGCAGCTTTAATTCTGTAAAATTCATTTCCATGATTTGGAATTCTGATGGGACGTTGATACATTGATTATTCAATTTTCACCGTCTGATGCTGTGGATGCTCTTTAAAAAGTTGCATTGATTCAATATATTCGACTTTTGGGTGGGATCAATCCAATGGTGGGTCCCAGACGTTCAACCAGCACTATACTATAGCCCGGTAGTCCACAAACCTCTAATTAAGCCATGGTTTTAACTTTTAAAAAACGATCCGGAAAAACCGTTTTGGGGTTTTCGGTTAGATGGTGTGACCGTTTAATTCAAATGGATGATCAGTTTTGATAAAAAATTTAAAAAATAAAAATAATTAAAAAAATAGCCAAAAAATATTGAATGGGTTGTTGGATTGACGATTTAACTGTCCAGATAAATGGGTTATTGACTGATTTAATGGCTTTTGGCCAGGGATCGGATTTAAGATAAAATGGAACTAGTTGCCTGAATAAATTTCAGGCCGAACGGTCAACGGCAGTCAATTTATTCCAGCCGGAGACTGTCGGGCTGCACTGTCCACTCTGTGGCCCCAGAACCGAGAAATTCCCAAAGGAAAAGTTTGCATATTTTTTAGTCCCATTTGTTTTCATTTACTATTCGATCGAAGTGTTTTTACGTGATAAATTTTAGGTTTTAGAGTTTTTGTGCAATTAGTATTAGTGTAAATTTTGTGATGATATGTTGAAATAAAATTTTGCAAAGGTAATAGGAATTAATAAAATTCTTATTTATCATTAATAAAATTGTATTATTCTTATTTATTATGGTTTACAAATAAAATTAATATTTTCTATCAGTTATTTTATCAGAATTTATATTTGAATTCTCATTACCTTTGTAAGAATTAATTTTTATATGATAAATCCAACTGCAGTCCCTTCAACTGCTAAAAACCTTACAATGAACTGTTATAAAAAATATCACTTGCTTTTGAATATATCTTGCCATCCAATGATGTGGTTTAAGGTAACAGAAATTAAGAATTAACCCACCATATGGTGGGAATAAAGAAGAGAAAACTGGACCAATGAAAATATGTTAAAAATATTTTTAAAAATTAAGAAAATAGTTTAAAGAATAAATTGTTCATCCACTTGCAATTTGCCTGTTGGAAATCTCTTCATGGTGGTTAATGTGGCCCAACATTGGCTATTGAAAAGATAAGATGTACTTTCCAATCTTTCTTTTTTCAATTTAAATAAATAAAATGGTAAATTGCTAAAACCTCTTGTAAAATCTTTTATCATTGTTGAAACCTCCCCTAAATTTTGGTAAATGCAATCACCTTCCCTGACCTTTTTGACATAGGTGCAAGTAGACCCTCTCTTAGAATCTTCTAACAAAAAGCACAAAAATGTCAAAATACCAATGTAGTTACTTTTGACCAAAATGTTTATTTTCCAATTTTTTCTTCATATCAATCACTATCCCAATCCCTTCTCATCTCTTTTTTTGGAATTGATGTATTTTCAAAATTTGCCCTTCATATCAATTGGTCAAAGGTAAAATTGCAACTTTGAACTCTCTTTTATGTTGCTCATAACATTTATATTGTTTTTATGTATAAACCAACCTCGGTAATAGTTACATGGGCATTTTGGACTTTTTCATGCCTCTTGTTAAAGAATTTCACAAAGGGGGTCTACTTGCAACTGTGTCAAGAAGTTTAGGGGAGGTGATTGCAACTACCAAACTTCAGGGGAGGTTTGGGCAACAATAAAAAACTTTAAGAGTAGTTTCAGCAATTACCATGATTTGTTTTCCAATTATTGAACAAAAAGAGAGATTTTTGTGTATTTTCCCTAACAAACTTTACATGGGAATGCAAAGTAACATTTTTGCCATTGACTTGTTTTACAATTATCAACAAAAAATGGAGTTTTGTGTCTTTTTCATAATAAGCATTAAATGAGAAAGAAGAGTAATTTCCTAATAAGCATTATGAGAAAACAAAATTACATTTTTACCATTGCTCCTTCTCCGATTCAAACTTTAGAGATGGAGTATTTTAGTCTAGTGAAAATTCCAGAAGCCAACCACTTCTATTTGTAGTTTTATAGATAGTATAGATATAGATATAGATATATGTTATCCAATAAAGAGAGAGGTGGGAGGGAAAGTGTGTTGTTGGTGTTATTTACGTGTAGATAAAATACTTATTCACCTTTTAGGAGGGTATGAGGTATCTAGGTAATTGATACTCTTTGGAATAGCCCATTCCGATTCCCATTTCAGACCCCCTATTGCCACGAACCAAATGGGGCCTCAGTTTATAAGTGATTCTTCACATTTCTTTATATAAAAAAAATAAAAAATAAATTGTCTTGTTGGCTTCTCACTCTCTTATCACCAAAAAATAAGCCTTGGGCTTCTCCCAATCTCATCTCATTTAATCCCTTTTTCATTATATATACTTGGAATAAAACCAGTATTACCACCAAGCTATGACCAACTTATTTGTCAAAAGAGAGTTAGTTTTTTTTTTTTTTTAAGTACATAAATATAAGATTAATGGGTTTGGGCGGGTTGGACTGGGTTAAATTGGATTTGGGTTGAACCCAACCCATTTAATTTTATATAACTGGGTCAGTAATGGGTTGGCGGGTTAGATGAGTTGGGTTGAAGCTCAACCCAAACCAAACCCAACCCAACCTGCCCAATTGCCACCAATAATACTGATTTCCAAGTCTAATTAATGTTTTTCATGCATTTTGTTAAGAAATCAACTACCTCAAATATGGACATTAGCAAAAAATAAAAGTAAAAATAAAAACAAAAATAACCATCTAAATGAAAGCTAGATTTTTTACAATGAAATAGAAATCAAATGGGATGAAATTTGGAGAAAATAAAGCCTTAATGCCTCTTGTTTGGTTGGTTATTAAAAAGAAAGCAAGTAAAGCTCAACCTTTTATACCAAAATTGTCCTAGAATTAACTACTCATATTTTCTAATTTGGACCGCCAAGTATTACTTGGTTGGATACAAGTAGGGGTGGATCTGAGCCGAGCCGAGCCAAATATTTGAGTATTCGAGCTCAGCTCAATAGAAAAATGCAAGGCTTGAGCTCAATTCAAATTGGAAATGTAAGCTCGAGTTTGGCTCGATTACAGAATTCATACGTTCGAGCTCGATAATGAACCGAGCTTATTCAAGCTCGAATTCGAGCTCTCAAGTGAACCTATTTATAAATAAGGGTTGTCTGCTTTTCCAAAGGTCACTTTGTCTTTAATATGCACACAGTACTAACTTAATCATCGGAGCGTTCCCACCGGGAAACCCCCCGGGAGTTCTTCCTCTTTCCTCTCGTCTCAAGTACCTCTCAGGAGCCACGCGAGTGCCAGATAGGAGTGACCGGATTGAAAAAATCCAGCACTCATGGCTTTCTCTAGCAATGTTGGACGAAGCGCGGAAATGTATAACTCCAGGGAACAACCCCAACTTCCTACTGTCTGTATCGGACAGTTCACCGTCCCCCTCTCGGCGGACAGAATCCCCAACTTGAATGTGCCTCTCACAGTAGCACATGTCATCGCCCCACTCCTTGCTACAGTCGGAACGACGTTCACCAAACCTTCGGTCGTGCCCCCAGCGGCCAGCCCGAACCAACTGGAGGACTTTGATGCAGTGCATGCGGGCCATGCAGGCCCAAATGCAACAGTTCCAACAACTTCAGCTCTATCAACAACATGTACTGCACCAGGTCTCCTAGTATCAGTATCAGCAGCAGTTCCCCCAGCTGCCTCAACCTCAGCTTCAGCAGCCGCAGTTCCCGCCCCGGCACCCAGCCTCACAGCAAGCTAAGTCTCGCCGCCAGGACGAGTGCCCCTCTGGCCAAGAAGAGGCCCCTCAAAACCTCCCAAAAAACCAAGCCTCCCCCCGCGGCAGACGAGAGAGATCGGCTACCCCGGTCTCGCCGCGGGCGAACAGGTCGGGAGGACCCCAGCTCGCCAGGTCTACATCACCTCGGCAGTCGAAGCTTGAAACCCCACTCTTTGAGAACCGGTTCGAGATCCTAGCAACAGACTCCAAACAGGACCCCTCTGTCCGCAACCATCACCAGTAGACCGGGCTACTTCATGCACAAATCATTCCGGACAGCGCAGAGGTGAGCAGCACGAACGCCGAGCGCACCAAGAAGCAGAGGCGCTGCCGCCGAGTTCGCCGATCTATTACCTGCGATTTGCCCGGGCTCGGGGGCAAAGAAGAGGTAAGCTCAGCCGAAGTCAAAGCTCCCCTCCTCTCAGTTCCATCCCCCCTGTCTTTCGAACTCCTGGCAGTCCCAATGCCCAAAGACTTCAAGCTCCCCCCTCTTGACAAGTATGACGGGTCGTTTGAC